AACAGCCAGCGTTCGGCCATGTTGCCAGACCACATAAAGCAATGAAGGCGAATTGCAGTGATCAGCTGTACCCTGACTGGAGCTCGCATTTCATAGGGCCAGAAATACCAGTGATACGCCGCTGTTACTCCGGCCGGCTGAAAGGATGGCCAAGAAGCTCCACGCCCGGGCTGTCCAATCAGCCCAGCCAGAGATGCCCGACGACCCGCCTGCTAGCGCGGAATAAACAGCTTACGCTGAACTGAACAAAATTAAGTCTCCTGGTTGTTTTAAATTGGTTCCTGTGTATTTTATTAACATAGGTCACATTCTTGAACATGTACATTAATAGCATTTTCGTGAATACTAGCCTGTTCTCAAGAAATATAAAATCTGAGACTCATACAAAAATGGTCTATGGTCGTATATGGAAAATTATATGGTAGGCTATCACCCCTTATGGACCTCTATGGTTGGCCATAGAAATCCATAAAGACAGCTACAACCAGCTACAGAAAAATCTATGGCCCTGTGTCTAAAGACTGGGAACCAATCAATTTTCTTTACCCTCCTATAGAAAATCCTTTGGCCACAAGTTTAAAGACTGGGAACCAATAATTTGTCTTCAACCGTCTATAGCAAATTTTATGGCCCTGGGTCTAAAGACTGGGAACCAATAAAATTCCTTTAGACGCTTATAGAAAATTATATGGCCCCGTGTCTAAAGACAGCGTACCCAATAAATGTTCTTTTCCTGCCTATATAAAACTTCTTCGCCCCGAGTTTAAAGACTGGAAATCAATAAATTGTCTTTACCCGTCTATAGAAAAATTTATGGCCCCGAGTCTAAAGACTAAGAACCAATAAATGTTCTTTCCACGCCTACAAAAATCACTACCGGCGCTTACTTTTTTAGTAAAGACACTCCACGTTAGAAAATTAAATCAATACTAAATTTCTGTCAGGCCGGTGACAAACCATGACCGAAGATATGTTCTCTACTGTTGCAACGAGTCGTGAAAACCAGTCATATTATTTGTTTGAAAAACCCAAAATACTTGTACAAAAATTAAGATTAATTATTACCCCCAAAAGTGAAAATAACTTACACTGGCGCCGAACACTGCAATTAAGCAATATATTGATTGCAATCTTCAATACCAGTGTACTGCATGTCATCACTGCATTGTCAACGTGATTTATCAAACTTTTTGAAAAGTTAATTAATACATTTTAATTAATTAGCCTAATGATCTACATTTGCTTTTTTCAGGGTTTTGAATTAAGAGATGGGGGCTATTCCAAGAGACAATTCAAATAATGTATTAAGTACGAGTAATAATTGCTCCGCCTCTCCGTGTTTTTGCGACAAATGATGGGTCACCGGCAAAGTCGGATTCAAAAATTAGACTGCCGTATACAGCTAGTGCGAACATAGCGTTTCTAGATCCACGGCCACTGGTAGATCTCCGTTGTTGCTGCTGTGTGGGGAAGTGTTCTGCTTGTGTTGTGTGTGTTCAGAGATGCAGAGCCGTATATGTAGAAAGTTTGGCCATTCGTTGGGAAGTATAGGAGCTAAAGTTGAGGCTTGGGCGAGTTGGTACATACTTCGGAAATTAAAAACAGCGCGGAAAGACGAGGACCAGACAAAGAAGTGACACGGACGTAGCGCTACGTCCGTGTCACTTCTTTGTCTGGTCCTCGTCTTTCCGCGCTGTTTTTAATTTCCGAAGTATAGGAGACAAATGAGGAGGCGCCATTGACCGAAAGCGGGCTGGGCGTGTTCCAGGGCGTCTTCAGAAATTCGAATGTGACCAACCAGAAGCCGGAAATAATACCCTGGCGGTGGTCGCGAAAAACAAACCCGATAACTGCATTGGAGTAACTCTCGATGGCTGAAAATACGGTACACGTGATGTTTCAATCACGCTCATCCGAAATGATGGTGGAAGAGTGCGACTAGCGGAACGATCGACATAATTCGTACGCCAAGCGCCGAGGGCAGGGAATCTGCCGTCCGAGCGGTCACACTCTGTCCGCGCAAAACAGAGTTGAGCGGCGCATTCGTTTCTTACATCTTCCTGCATGGTCATGATCAAAACAACACGTGCACCCTATTTTCAACCATAAAGTGTTACTCCATTTCACTCTTACGCGCTTATTAAAACCATATACGAACATAGACTTTTGATCAGAACTGTTTGCCGCTACCACCGCTAGGGGATTCTTTTCGGCTTCTGGTTGGTCAAGAGAGCATGCCAAGCCCTCTTTCCGAGTCTGATGCACGCCCTGGCTCTGCCCGCGCCTCCCATTGACCACACTCTCCACATATACGGCTCTGCAGAGATGTATGTATATCTATACATATATTTACATATATATCTATAGGGAGTATTCACTGGCGGCCACATCCGTGTGCGCTGCTGCTGAGCGCGTGCGGACGACGAGCTTCCGCAGTCCTTCTGGAGCGTGCATTTAACACCATCAAGGTTGCCGGTCTTAGCAGGTTATTAACGTGAGCTCGTTCTGAGCATGCGCTCTAAACATGGCCCTCAAATTTGGCGTCCAGTGAATACCTACATTGATACACATACACCATGTAGCGTTCACAAGTCGGGAAAACTTGAAGTAATTTTTTTTTTTTTTTTTTTTTTTTGGGGGGGGGGGGTTTGCTGGCTAAAGAGAGCCACAGGGAAAGCCACAGAGAAGTCTTTATTCAACCATTAGAAAAGCTAAAGAGCGCTATGGCTGGACAGCGATAGGGCCATAGACAAAGCTAAAGAAAAGTAAAAAAACACATACTGCAACATTATCATCCCCAAGACTGGCTCGCCCGTGAAGAGCCACCCTGGTCCGAGTTCTTTTTACCCATATAGCCAGGATTGGCTGACCCGGAAGCAGCCAACTGGCCTCGGCTGTATTTACCCCGTGTAGTCACGATTGGCTGACCCAGAAACAGCCACCCTGGCTCAGGCTGTATTTGCAGGATGGAGCCCAGATTGGCCAGACGGGGAATTGCAGCTTACTGCCAGTCTTGGCGTGCCAGGTTGGTTCTAGCTGAAGCATTGGTGCAAAACAAGCATGGCCCAAGGAAAGTTTCCTTGGCTGCCCAACCTGGCGCGAGCTAGAGCCAGGGTATTGTGCTACTTGGGATCGTCGTTGTTACGCGCTGCTCCACCTGCACCATGTAGATATTTAAGCTTTAATTGTTCTCAATTTTACAAATTAGGGCACATAACAAGGGGAAAATGTGCTGAAAACATAATTATAGGGTTGCGCGAATATTCGTAAGTTTCGAGTAATGAGTCGAATATTGGTGTATGCGACTCGTCATCTGAATCTCATTGTGATTTTTCGATGTCTCAAATATTTTGACAATCTTAATTACCTAGCTTCACCTTATTTTCTAGAGGCTGCCATGGCCACTAACACTGCCCCACAGCTCAAATAATCCTCTGTCACGTTCTTTTTCTTTTAATTTGGTGCAGCTAAAGGCTCGTTCACACTCTTACAACCGAGTACGACCGAGAGAGATGAGACCGGTTTTTAAGCCTTTTGCCACTTCTTAGGACCGGGTGCTCTGCAGCGGAGCTGTCCTAAGAGATCGCAATTAAGAGGCTTAAAAACCGGTCTGGTCTCTCTCGGTCGTTCTTGGTTGCAAGAGTGTGAACGGGCATTAAGAAAGCACCCTGTATATTGTGTACCTATGTTATTGCTATAGAGTTTTAGTATTTTGTCCTGGTAGCCCTGATAACGGGACTTGGTACCCCTCCGGCACCTTTGCTCGTGTTGTATCATTATCAGGCATTGTTTCCGAGTAGAAAATGGTCTACTAAAACCCACTGTTGTAGTGCTTTTTTGTAATACCTGAGATGGGCTTTCCAAACTAATTATAAGTCTCATAATGTCCTCTTTTATTGTGTTCTGTAGGCCAGTGACTCTTTGAGTGCTGACAGTTGTTTGTGGTCCACGAGCTCATGATTAAAAACCTTAGCTTTCTGCAGGCTGTGGAGCTTCTTTTTGCGCTGTACTATTGTCTCAACATTAAAGGGGCCCTCCGGAGCTTTCTGCGATCGTCTGTTTATGGCGGTAACTCAATTTACAGGCCCTAAAGATCCTAAAAATCATAAAATTACCGTCATGCGCGGCGGATTCCCAAGGGCACAGGGACGACACGACACAGCGCCCACACCCAAAGGTTTTAGAAACGCGTCATGATGCTGCAATCGAGGGATTCAAAATGAATCAATCGGGGTGGGGAGATCTTTAAAGGGCCTGCTTTGCGTGCTCTGGGAGATTAGTTGAAGAAAACCATCAAGGACGCAGACCAGAGCAGACCTTGCCCTGGACCTCAAAGGCGCTTTCGAAAACGTCACTCGCGAGAGCGTCCTGCAAGGTCTCGCGAGCATCGACTGTGGCCAGAAGACCTACGACTACATCAAGAGCTTCTTGACGGACAGGACCGCTATCCTGAACATCGGAAGTCACGCATCGGACCCATACCAGCTAGGGCCCAGGGGGACTCCTCAGGGTGCAGTTCTGTCGCCACGACTCTTTAATCTCGCACTCAAGGGACTACCAGAGGTCCTTAACAACATTTCCGGCATTGAACACGCCATCTACGCCGACGACATCACCATCTGGTGCAAGTTGGAAGCGACGCCCAAGTCGAAGAAAGCCTCCAGAGGGCAGCGAATGCCGTGGCCTCGTACGCTAAAGACTGCGGCCTTCAATACTCTCCCCAAAAGTCAGAACTTCTGGTATTCAAGAACCCGTACAGCAGACAACCACCTGCGGACCTGAACATCTACATCGACGGACAAGAAGTACCCAAGCCCAAGGAGGTGAGGATCCTCGGCCAGATCCTCACCCAGTCGGGAAGAAATCTTAGAACCATCAACAAGCTCACCACTTCCACGACGCACGTCGTCGGGATGCTGAGGAGAATCAGGAACCAGCGGTGCGGACTCAAAGAGAAGGGGGCTATCCAGCTGGTATATGCCTTTGTGGTATCTCGGGTCATGTACGCCACCCCGTACCTGAGACTCACTCAGACCGAAGTCAACAAACTCAATGTCATCATTCGAAGAGCTTTCAAGTGCGCCCTTGGACTACCAGAGTACGTGGCCACGGAGGACCTGCTCAGCACGGGCCTCTACAACACCATTGAAGAACTCTGGGAAGCCCAGCGTATATCACAAATCAAGCGCCTCAGCGAAACACCGAACGGAAGATGGCTCCTGGAGCGGCTGCAATTGGCCACACCGGGTGGCATATTACACCAAGAACCCAAACAAGAATTAACACCAACTGTACGAGGCAAGATCACGGTCGAGAAGATCCCAAGTAACATGAACTCGGAAAGGAACGCCAACAGAAGAAGAGTTCGTGCACAGACCATATCCAGGATATGGAGCAAGAAGCCCGGAACCCTGTACGCCGACGCGGCCATCCTACCAAGAGGCAACACCGCCACCCTGGCCGTGGCCGATCCTCGTGGCAACGTGGTGAGGACGGCATCGGTCTACACGACCCTCACAGAACACGCAGAAGAAGCCGCAATTGCTCTGGCTGCCACAGGTACCAAACAAGACCACATCACCGTCATCACAGACTCGCAACGGGCGTGCCGCAACTTCGCCAAGGGTGAAATAGGCGAACAGGCGGCGAGAATCCTCTCCAAGGCGCAGTTTACGAGCATGAAGATCGTCTGGGCACCAGGTCACGCGGGTGTCGAGGGAAACGAGGCGGCAAACGCCGCAGCCCGAGCCTTTCATTCGAACCGGGACTCGTCCGCACCTCAACCACACTCTCCTGACCCCAACATGAAGTACAACGAATACTTGAAGACAATCAGGGAAGCCAGGATGACTCTTCCAGCGCCACCTTCGAAGTTCACCAAGGAGGAGGAGCACCTCTATAGAAGACTGCAGACAGGAACCATGAAGACGCCAATGAAGCTCCATCAATGGTACCCCCAACTCCATCCTTCACCAACTTGCTCCTTTTGCGGGTGGAAATGGGGGGACCTGTACCACTTGATGTGGGTGTGCAAGCACATTAAAGGTTTGGATCCGGTTCCGAACCCGACAAGGGACAACTGGAACGCGGCCCTCCGCTGGAGCGATCCGGGAAGCCAACACTGGTTAGTACGGAGAGCGACGGTGGTGCAAGCCGCGATTAGAGCCCCGGCCTAGGGGCACCCAGCCAGAAATGATTCCTCAATCAAGATTACCTATTTCTTTCTGGTACCTCCTATCCCCTTCTTTTCATAAAATAAAAGATGTTTTCAACAACAACAACAACTGAATAAGGCCTGCCCGACTTACGTCTTGTGTAAATTGTTTAATTTAAATATTTTGTTTAGTTTGTTTTTCCACTTGTGTTTCACCAGATCATAAAGCTCACTACATGAACGTGTTTCAAGTTTTGCCATTATATACATATCGAACAATATATTTATTTTATGGGCCACCAAATTACAAGGATGAAGACAACCCCAGAATATGTTTATAAATGTTGTTTGATTATAGTGTAAAGGCACTGCTGAACTTTTTTTTTTTTTTTAGCGTTTATATTTTTTGAAAAAATAGAAAAGTTGAGCCGGCCCAGAGGGCCTGTACAAAAAAAGAACTGTGGCCTCTGAACTCTGGGAGTTCCTGGGAATCAATAGGATTATTCCACCTCTTGTGGATATCTTTTTAATTCTCAGATGCGCCAAGGGTGGCTTATTTCCTTTGATTTACGTCGAAGTGCTCAGCCTGCTAGACCCTGACTGCTACATTTCAGCAAAATGAGAATTCTGCATCAACATTGCACCAAAATTTAATTTCACTTTCTCACTGCTGAAACTAACAGACCCCACTAAGCCTATCACTATGGTAGGCTTGAGTGGTTTTGTGAAACTTTTGTTTATTGCTTCGAATGACGCACTGTTTGATTAGATTTCCGCATTGAACGCTGACAGTACTCGGACATTTTATGGTACTCCCCATTGCCCCTTCCGCGCAATTGAAGTGTGCTTCACATTGCGCTTCGGTGCACTGCAGTGAGGCAGCATTTGTGGTGCAGACATAAGGATCGTATGCGCCTCACTTGCCCATAATGCAGCCGTGTGCTTGGGGGAAAACTACTCGTCCACAGCGGGATGGCGCGTGCGCTTGCCTAGGCTTTTTTTTTTTTTTTTTTTTTTTTACAGAAAAAGGAAGCTTTTTTTGTTGTTGTTTTTTGTGCAATGGCTAGAATTGCGAGCATAGGCGATATACTTTGGTTGTGGTGCCTGAATGAGCCTCCGGCGGGTGTCTTGACTTTCATGAGTGGTAGGGGCAAAAAAAGAAAGCATGGGCTTTAGCAAGGGGCAGGCCTATTATTAGAATCTTGTACTATTTGCAGAGCAATGAATGAGAATAAGGTGCCTGCACCAAAAGTTCTTCTTGGTGCTCCTAGATTGACTTTTGGTTTCTCCAGAGGCTGCGCCAGAATTACACGAACCAGACACATCACATGTTTATTATCACAGCCCTGTCTCATCGTTGCACATGACTGAGGAAATATCTAAGCGGCTCATCACCGACGCCATGTTTGCGGATACAAGGAGCCGACCGGCCCGCAACGCCCGGAGATACGTGCGCTTCCGCGCATCCCTGGGGAACGGGAAATTGACCCCCCGCGGAGGAAGGCAAGGAGAAAACGTAGTCCCTTGTTTGTGAAACGATAATTGCAGTATCGCGTATTCTAAACTAGAAATATTTTACGTCTTGTGAATTTATCATGCACAACATATTTAAATGAACTGAAAATTGTTTCTTTAGCGAAACCTTAAAACGACCGCCAAAATTTTCAAACATACGATAATTTCATTGGCCCTCGCAAGTACAGAAAAGAGTCCGCACGTATTTTATTCCTGCGTGATTAATAGGCGGTTCTGCCTTCTAAAACTGAAGATAATCATTCACTGACACTTCCTTAACGCTATCGCACCAAAAAGTAGCTTCTCCAAAAACCGCTTGAGTGCCCCTTTAAACAGTACCAGATCAAGGGCTTCACAGAACTCGTTAACATCCTCCCTGTTGTATCTGTATACCCATCAGTCTTTCAAGCGAGCATTCATGATCATAAGATAATTTAATGTCCCTTGATATGCACATTAGGTGTTGTGTATTTTCGTCCCTCGCGTCATTCCGTTTTCAGGTACACAAAACCCAGTAGTGTGTCCATTCACCCAATATTGTCACGAATGACAATCGATGAGGCAATGATAACTGAAGAAACTAAACGTTTAATGAGGTGAACGTGTGCCCAAAGCAAACTAAACAAAAAGGAAAGAGAAGAAAACAGCAGAGCGTCGCGGGCGTCGATGTCGGCGAAACCGCAGGATCGAGCGCTGGGGCGAGGCTGAGTCCGGCTGCCCACGCGGAGCCCTTATGTACACGCGTGGGCTTCTGGAACAATCAGCGTAGAAGGTTCGGCGTGTAGAACATTTTAACCTCGAATCAGCCAACACGGTTCTCGAATTTACCAGAACATTACATTAGAGTAAACAAAAATGCGTACCCGCGGCCAGGCATCGAACACTGGCTTTCTGCGTGAAAGGCACGCGCGATAACTGTTAGGCTACGAGCGCACTGCCTACCTCGTCAGCTGCGCTCGCGGCAATATTGCCTTTAACCCGCATGTGTTCCCTGCAGCTTTCCCGTACCGCTTCTCAATCCTGTCATTTTACTAACACCCCAATCCCCCTCCCTTCCGTTCCCCTTTACCCCGCTCGCATCCCGTCCAAGAATAGCCGGGTATGTGTTGCGGTTCCTCCCTATCTCTTAAATGTGTTTCTGCTAGTCCATATATTGGAAAGGTTTCAACTTCTCATTTTCCCCCAATTTTCTCCCACTTCATTCTACCTATGCCCCCCTGCATGCTTATAAAACCTACATTAGGATACTTCTTTTTCCCGTTCCTACAAGGCTTTCTCCCTCCCTCCCTCCCTGACCCTTCCCTCAAATCTTCCTCAGGGCCGTCATCTATTCCAGGAGCCTTCGGGCTTCCAAAAAAGCCCTCGCTCTCTCTCCCATTCGCAACCCAATCAGCCACCCCATGCGTGTGCCGTAGTGCAGCCCACCGAGGTCAAATAGATGAGCTATCCCCTCTGGTACACCTCCCTGCTCACCTCCCTCACATCATACCCTATCTTCTGTGCCAACTGCTTAATTACCTTGTTTGCCTCCATCCCCCCCCCCTTTCTGTTCCCCTCGCCTGCCTCTGAACTTCGGTAGTGTGTACAACAAATGTGCGCCTTCTCAGCTGCTTCTCTAAATTTACGAACCCCCGCCTCTTGCTGTCTCTCAAGTTATGCCCCCTTCCCCTGAATACGTCATTCAGCCCTGCATTAAAAACAACCAGGTTTTCCCCCTGTTGGTTGTCCCACACCATGTTCGTAGTGCTCTCCATGGCCTCGCTCATGCACTTTCCTGGGTAGGCCCTCCTCCCCTTTCACCTTGCTCTTGATCCCTGCTATGCACCAGCACCTTATTATCATCATCATTGTTGTTGTTACCATTTTGCTTTGTTCATTCGCCATTGCAGTTGTGGACTGGCACCTCTCATCTCGGTCTCGTCTCAGTGAATCATGTTTCCGGACTACGCTGGCTTGGACGTCATTGCCCCATCTGTTCTTCTACCGCCGCGATGTGTCGCTAAGAAGCGCAGGAAATACTCGATCATAACGCTAGAAAAGGCAGCGATTCTCAAACGAATAGAAAGTTGCCGAACACAAACAGAGGCATAACCTCAAGCAAGGCGCACAGGAGTAACCTGAAGCCAGGCACTATTTACTGCTTTTTTTAAGCCAGCTTAGACGTAATAAAGGCAAGTTTTTTAATCTGCCGATTTGTCAGACTGCTCTATGATTCGGACGTTTTTTCGGTCCCTGCAAAGCCCGAAAAATTGGTTGGCGACTGTACAGATAAAATGTGCACTATATGTAAAGAGGAGGGAAACATTTCAGCTTGTGATTCTAAAATGTAAGGAGCTAAGTGATACCCTTCCCAAAGGGGTGAAAGACATACCCAGTTTCGCTGGAGAAGATGGAAGTGTGGATTAGAGTAAAGTAGATGCAACAAATAGGAGGTTAGAGTGCGGGTGAAAATTATCTGGAGAAGACTGAACAAAGAACAACTAAGTAGCACATCTGGGGGACAGGAGGAAACTTGGAACTCCCTCCCTCGTGTCTCCGGAGTAAGGCCTCAACCCTGTGCCCCAGTGGGTCTGGTGTTGGGTCGATGCCAACAGAAAATTGGTGACTCCCTCGACAGGGGATAAAGAAAGGGTCAACACAGCAATCACCCACCCCAGCCCAGTGATATTGACAGAAAGGCATTGACCTAAAAAAACACAATCACATGTTTTTTTAGGCTAGGTGGCAGAAGGTAATGCCTAAGGGTACAGCAGTTACTATCCACCCTTCCATCCATCCAGATTTTAACCAAACATGTAAACATAGTATTCTTATATAAGTAAACAAAGGTGAAACTTTCTGGACCTAAGAGTACTTCCGGCTGGACTGCACTTTATGTATGTTTCAGTGAGCAAGAATGAGCAGCGTGTCTTTGAAGTGCTTCTTTATGTAGAATCAGGAAGGGTATGTCAAAACGATACACTATAGATTGGCGACCTAGATCATATGAAGCCCAGAATAAGCAGAGTTGCCCATTTGGCCTCTGTGCTGAAAGTTATGTGTCCCCATGCACCACTGCAATGGAAACCCGGCCATTTACACGGAAGGCATTCAACAAAATTGGAAGCAAGTCAATCGAAGCCTTTGTAACAATTTTGTGAATGGGAAGTGAGTACGTGCACCAGCTCACGTCGATTCGTTAACTGCCTGCGTGTCGTAACTGTTCAAGATGGTAAAATGCTACCACCAACAACTCGGCAAGCATTCAGCAAGTTGGCTGTTTGTCAGTAACCTTGTGCCCTGATATCTTCTCCATTTTTAAGGAGTTTTCTTATTCGTACTGCCGCTTCTTTCGCCGTGTCTTTTCACTCAGCTGTTAGCCCTCCCAGCAGGCGATTTCTGCTTGTTACGGTATGTTTTAGCGGCCATAGTTTGTAAGCGCTCTTTGGCAATCACACATGGAGATTATTGACTCCCTGCTCGCTCAAGCACGTTGTGACGCTGAAGGTGGCATTC